GATGCTCTGATTCATGACGAAAAATCAAAGGAAAATAAAAAGGGACAATCGTGAACAAACCAAGCAATAAATATCACAAATCATCACAGCATTTTGCTTTACAAAGTGTCTTGTCGCAATAGGATTGAAGTTGTTTTTGATAAGTTAAATAAATAGATTGCTTAGCGTAAGTTTCCAAAATCGCTTCAAGTATCCAGTACACTCGACGTCTACTAATGACACGAATGCTTGTCTTACAGAACAACACATCAGACTTTCGAAAGAAGTATTTTATGGCCAGTTTTATAATTAGACCTGAACTCTTTTTATCAAAACTATTTTTTAAGGCACAAGTATTAGAACATTTTGACACCACTCATTGTCGCTCTCACTGTAATGTTATGATGAAATAATTCAAGCTTCATGCTTTTCTTCATGTGATTAAATCAACTCCACATGAAACGACTTCCTATGTTCAAAATCATCACTTACAAGCAAAACTCAGTTGACATTCTAAACGAACTGTATAAAAGACAGCAAATACCTTTTCCTAATGACCATAGTTTTTCAACAAATAAGATATTTCTTAATTTTGCTCTTATTCTTCAGAAAAGAAAAATTAAGGTTAGGAGAACTGAAATCATGCCAAGCTTGCAGAACTGCATCATAAAACTAAATATCGAGTACTACTACAACTACCACTATTAATAATAGTGGTAGTTGTAGTAGTAGTAGTAGTAGTAGTAGTAGTAACTGTAGTAGTAGCAGTAGTAGTAGTAGTAGTAGTAGTAGTAGTAGTAACTGTAGTAGTAGTTGTTAGGTGAAGGTCGGTGGTTGACCGAAAGCATGCGGTCGAATGCCAGAACATAAGATATTGGGCGGTTACGTATTGTCGTCCATCTTTGACTTTCTTCTCTATATATATATATATATATATACATACATATATATATATATATATATATATATATATATATATATATATATATATATATATGTATATATGTATGAGTGCATATGTGTATATGCGTGTAGGTACATGCATGTGAGTGTGCATGTCAAATCATTATGCATTATACCATCAAAAACTGTGACCTTGAGCTGGAGGGAGGAAGCGATGTTGTTAACAATGCTGTGGCTGCGGCAAGCAGCGCCAAGACCCTACTGATCCAGATAGCTTTTATAAACAAGAATTATACTATAAGCTTATGCCTCGGACTTATTATTCTAGTGAAGTGAGAAAATATAACTTTATGATAAGGCGGTTATTAGTTCTGACTTCATTATCGACAAATTTGGTTAACTTACTAAACTTATCATTATGAAATTATTAATATTCGTTTCAAAGCTTATATTTTGCATATAGTTCTAACAACATTTTGTTTGTTGGTGATATTATTCTCAAAGAGATGCAAAATAAAGTATAGCTATAGCAATTCGGTTGAGTTGAAATTGCAAAAATGAAATAGCATTATAATAGTCTTTAAAGCAAGGAATTTCCGCTAGCGGAAATTCCTTGAATCAAAATTATCCCAGTAGATTTCATTGAACCAATTGCACTTGTTTTCATAAGCTTATTACATCAGAAACAGCATTAACTTCGATAAAGTAATTTTACTGAGTCTTTTCAATTATTAAGTTTGCTTGAAAACTGACCTTAATAAGCTTCCTCGCTATAGCAAGCGGATTTTATCAGGGTTATCGGCTTAGTTGTTTACAGTTTTTGTATGGGCTGACTATATAAATTCAAGAAACATATTTCTGATTTTCTTTGTTCAATAATCTTGTAATTTAACCGATGTGAATTTACTATTAATTTTCTGCAAATATCTGGATTCAGAAAAAAGAGCGTTATGGATTGTCTATCCAGAAAAAGTCAGTAAAAATGATTAAAAAGTGAGTGCATATCACAAGAGATAATTTGATAGGAATGACATCATATCAACAGATCTATCCATAATTAGATGGGTTGAGATATAAAAGATTTTCTATGATAGAGGAAGGGGTGAAAGCAGTTGGGAGTTGAGCATGAAGCAACAACAACCTTTTCTCTGGTGCTGTTGGACGCATTTGTGTGCTGCGTACTGTCAAATAAGCAAGCCGAAGTAGGGTGTAGCAGGCGGTAAGGGGAGGGAGAAGGGAAGTGGGTTGATAATGTCAGTAGGGGCGCAGTATAAAGGCTCCAATTTTCAGGGACGACGGTGAACAAGGGCGATAAAGTGAACCGCTGCTGCTACTTTTGTCGCGAGAGTTATGCCTAGTTACCAGCAGCAGTAACATAGCTACCTTACTGTAACAGTCAGTATATGTGAAGTCCGTTTAAATACTAAATGATGTCCTTATTGGTGTCTGATTAAATTAATGTCTCCTTTCTCTCTTCTACCTTATCAGATACATGAAATGAGCTTGCCTGAAAATTCAGTAACGGTTGAAAATGCCGCTGATAAAGTATATCCAAATATACTTGAATATAATAGTGCAGAAAAATATAATAGTAGAGTCAATGGGGTAATGCTTCAGAAGCATATGACCAACTCAAAATAACATAATCGTTTGTGAGTTTGGCAACTTATAAATAAGTTCAGTCTTCATTTCGTGAAAGCTTCTAGTAATCTGTATGTTTTCGTGTTAGCGTTATTAAGAATCTTGTGTTTGGTGAATGTTCTCGCAATCAAATGTTTCAGCTACCAATAAATACGATAAGTAATGGTAGAGAACACTGAAAGGAAATTATGAATGTTGTACTGTGTCAAATATTGCTTATATATATATGCTTTTCTTCTTCAGTATCATCTTTCAAAGCAATCATAAAATTCAAAGGTAGATTGAGAGAGAAGCAAAGCTAATGCATACTTTGAACAATTAACCAGGTATCTAGGATTATAATATATTTAAGATCTTAAAGGAATTATCCAGTCTATGGGATTGCATTGTAATCACGTGGTTATAATAAGTGACATTTTGTTTCTCCGCCCTGTTGTTCAGTATGCAAATGTTCATGAAACAAATATTTAGCATGAATGATCTGCTAGATGCTCATCATCAAACCATTCCAAGTTACATAAACAATGCAGCACCGGTATTTTCATCAATAAATGCCAACTCTCTTTTTATATTACATTTTCCACACCTTAATAGGCACTAAAATAACTGCAGAACTTTCTCCTATACCGGTGATGTTAAAAACATCATCTAATTGGTGGCTTTCTGAAGAATATGGAAGGAACTGATCTGAAATTTTTTGTCTGAAAAAATTCTTCTATCAAATTTTTGAAAGGTTAAATTATTTTACGGCATCAGTATCTAAATTTGAAACAAATCTTCAAGGTTACTTAAAAATTTTTGGATTCCACTGTTATTAAATTTTAATTTGTGTCTTTAATGACTTCAATCTTGTCTCAATTTAATTACTGAGAATTCTAATTATTTGATCAACAGGAATCAAACATTGTCCAAGAGTATAACTTACCGACCATAGTGTGCGATGATTTGGGATGAAATATATGAACAATTTAATGTTTGATGAGCTCTAGGAGAAATGGATTTTCGCTTTTACAATGATTTAGATTAAAAAATAGATGAAAAATAGAATGTGCTAGTTTTCATTTGATGCAACTTTATCACTGTTCTGTTTTTTGTTTCAGTAAATCATTCGAAATTTACTTAATTCCTAAGTTTTTCTTCCAAATTTCAGCATTACATATTTTGAAGATGACTACTGCTTCAATTAAGGAACTTGCTCATTAGCCTGGCTCATTTTGTAAAAAAGGCAGTTTATATTTAAAGAATAGAAAAATGCCGGACAAGCATTTTGGAAAGTCATACAGCGACATTTTACTCATTACTAAATGTTGCTGTTGATAATAATGATGATGGTAATGGTATGCCTCATACATTGCAATAATATACGACAAAGGAAAAGAAATAGCTCGTGACAAGCTGACATGAATAGGAAGGGAGGACACGGAGGCATCATCTATTCTAATGAGACACTTATCGTGTGTTTCCCTGTGTCCTCCTCCCTCTCATACCAACACCAGCCTACCGAGATCGACACCGATGGATAGCAAAAACGTGTATGCCCAAGGTGCAGCATCTGTACAGAGGGAAAAAGAGATAGAGAAGCGGGAAGAGACGTTTCTTAGAGTTTTTGATAACAGGAACTGAAAATAGCGAAAGGAGCGGGAGGTGTCAGAAACTGAAGAGCAAAAGAGTAGCTGAAAATATGAAGGGCAGAGAGGCAACAGCCAGGTTGAATAAACTCTGTCAGAGAGGATGATAAGATGTAACAAAGGGCAAGAGTGTCATTGTGGGCAAGTCTGCACCTCTCGTTCCCTTCAAGTGCTAATTCCTTTTGGCTTAGATTGCAAATCACTACGCATTATTGTCGGCTTACGGTAAGGTAAACATCACATTAGAAGCTTGTCTAGGAAAAGCTACAGTAACCGCCCTTCAAAACTGTCGTTTTATTGCTTCTTTATTTTCAGCTTTATCCCAAAATGTATCTTTCTCGAGCTTTTGTTGACTGTATTGGATTCCAGTAAGATATGATGCAACTATATTGCAGTAGCTAAAATGCATTCAAAAGCATGATGAGTCAAAAAAAAGCACATGGAGCATGCGCTGATCAGAATAGAGGTATCACTCACTTCACTTAACATACTCCTGTCTCTCTCACGCTCATTTCCTTTTCTTTTTTCCCTCCCAATGTCATATACCACTAAATTTTAATGTGAGATTTAATTTTTCAACTCAATCCATGTTTGTCGGCTAACAAGAGATTTAATCTGAGTGACTGTGTCACATTTTTCATTTTCTAAGTAGAGGCGCTATGATATACCCCAATTGGTATAATGTTGTCTCAAAGCTATTTTGTATTATTTTCTTTGACTTTTAGTCGTGTTTTTGGTATAAAAGCAGGGAATGTGTGGGAGATATGCAAGGTCATTCTGAACTTGTAAAATTCTTTATCCGATTCTCTGATCTGAAATGATTTTTTTCAGTTGTAAGATAGAAAAAAAATGAGAAAAGTAGATGAATTATCTGGAAGGATAAAAGAAATGATAGAAAGTAAATGAGAGTGGTAAACAAAATGTGTTATTGGAAGAGAAAGAAAGGGTAGCATGGATGTAGCGAAATTTTGGCATCGTTTTATAAAAGTGGGTTAGATTTAGCATGAGATATAATGGCTGACCGATTTGTGGCATCATTAAAATTTGCTTTTGAAGTGGGCCATGTGCGTATATGCATTTCTACATATATATATATATATATATATATATGTATATATGTGTGTGTGCATATATATGTTGTGTGTATGTGTGTGTATGTATGTGTGGATTGGTATTCCTGACTATCTACGTTATGTAACACAATACCTGATTTCAGTTTGAAATCTATGGGTCCATACACGCGCATTTAGGCTGTAACTCTTACTGTTTTTGCTGATTTAATTATTTGTTACTGAATTCGCTCAACTTAATAGAAGAAGCTGTTGATCAACGAAGTTCACAAATATTATAGATGCTTGCTTAATTAAGAAAACCATTAACACTTCAAATAGATAACTACCTTAATTTAAAAAGATTTTTGATATATAGTGGGATTTATGGCCTAAAAATACAGGTAGCAAGTAAATGATTTAAAGTCATGAATTAAAAGAATAAAGCATTTGAACTTATGCTTGCAGCTGGCATAATTTGTCAGAAATAAGAGACGTTCTAAAAGGTAATGTGCAGCATAGTGACAATACAAACAAGGTCGTATGATGAGATCGGAAAATCGGGGAAGTATTGGGGCGTAGAAATGAAAAAGATTTTCAGCAGCAATAGAAGTAGCAATAGCAAAGGCTACAGCAGCATCACAGCGATATTACGATAACGCTGTAACTGAAGGTCATTCCAAAATATATATTCACTACATTAAGTACCTCAGTGTATTCTTGGAGCGTAATATATTTAGCTGCTGCCGTACAACAAATAAACATTTTTAGGCAATTCCTGAAATGAATAACCAAAAATTCCGACATTAGTATCCACTGCCAACAGACCACTCAAATTTTGGAAACAGTTAAATTTTAACTTTATGTACGACTATTTCATCAAACATAATGCTAATATAGGTAGGTGCATATTGGGAAAGAAACAACTGCAAGACAACACTGGATATAAAGAGTACGGTAGAGCATAAGGAAGCTAGCTTATAGATATCGTAATAAAAGCAGTTACTAGCAGTAATGTTTGAATATGGTTAGAAATAAGGAGAGAAAGGAGAAAGAATATTAAGTAATGCAGGTCAGTGACCATGTTGAGGAGAGCAGCAACAGCAGTCTGATGACAGCCGGTGCTAGGGAAAAGGCACACCTCCCCATTCCACCACATCAGTCAATATACAACTTCCTTAGTGCATACGTCACAGCAATAACTGAGCTGAACTACCTGATTCAGTTGGGAACGAAGAAGTCTGAGAAGCCATGCGACATTAAAATATTTCAGGAGAAGAAATAATAGTGAGTACCACAACACCAGATACAGTCAGGATAGTGTCATTAGAAATTGTAGAGGTAGACAGAGGCTATGCACACAGTTACGGTTAAATGCTGGCTGGCTCTCTGCTTGGAGCATTACAGCAAATGTCGACGACCTACAAGCTGACCTTAAACAGCCACTGAAATATTTGCGCTACTCTTTCTTCCTTTTTCCCTTTCCTACTTCTCCTTACTTGTCAGTTTACAAAGAACGGCAGCATCAGCATCAGCAGCAGCAGCAGCACCCGAAAATTTCTTTTAAAATGTATGTGTGCATGTATGCAGTGATCCACTCTGTGAACCGAATCCTCCTCCAAAATACTATCGCTCCGGGCATCAACTGATCCTTCCATCCACAGCAGCCTACATCCCATTTCTCTTCCATTCACTAAATTTTCTTCTGGAGTGGCAACCATCGCGGAAGTTACTACATTTATACAGACTTATTGCTCAGTCCATAACAATACTGCAAAATGACAACTTCACTGAAGCATCTTCAATTATTTGCAAGATCATGCAATACAATGTGTCATCTTTTTGAAAAAAAAATAGAGAAAGAGGAAAAAAAAGAATTATTTCGAAATAATTTTGTGTGAAGAAACCGTCAATTTATGTAGTTCGATATTATTTCTAACAAGCTGCTTGAATTGCATAGATTTCAGAAGTGTTACTAATACCACAAGCCGCTTGAATTGCACAGACTAGCTATCATCTTATCAAGCAGACACATTTTCATTCAATATTAAGACGGCCACATTACAGCTGTTACTGCTTCTAAATAACAATTGTTTCAAAGGAAGCAATGCTTCATTAAATTATCGACAAATTCTTAATTCCAAGGAAAACAAAGCGCATAAATAAGTTCAAATATTTTGTTTCTTTATTATTGTTTTATTTCACACAATTTTAAAATAATTTAAGTTGCATTTTAAGTAGCGACTGTTAATTTTAATTTTTGTATTGTTAAGTAAGTGTTTACACTAAATTTTGCTTTCTCTCAAATTCTTTCTTACAATTCTTAATTTTTCGCAATTCAAGCAGATAAGGCTATCATTTAAATAACAATACTTAAGTTCACATAACAATTTTGAACGGGGTTGGTTGGTATTCCTGCACTGATTACTCTTTCAGTACAGACATTCATTTCCCTGTGCTTTCTTGATAAGCCTTCGAAATATTACCAATTTTCTTTTGAATATTTTCCTGTAAAACTTCAATTCACGACTATTAATCAAATCTAGGAATAGTCACACATAACTATGAATTAATAATCCGATGAAATTTGTTTATCTAACATTTGCTATGAAAATTATTAAACCAGCTGGTAGTTCTTCCGATTATTGGTATTGACTGCCAAACTTTACCAAACCAAACAATTGCTTCATTGAATTCCATAAACTCCGAGACAACAAAATACCTGCATGTTTTATTCAAATCCAGTGTTTGCTTGGAATAAAAAATTGCTTTCTAAAGAAAGGAGAAAGCATGAGGACGAAAACAAAATTTTAAAAAAATATTGAGACTAGCGGTGTAGAATTTATGTCCTATAAATTCAAGGCATTTTGAAACTTCCTCTGCTTTACCACTGTTGATCACTGATCAACAATTTCTTGTTTTATCAGTGAGTGTTACTTAACATTGCTTTGTTTCTAATTTAAATGATGGTAAGATGGCTGGTAGGCAACGCTATCTCAAACGAATTGGTTTGGTAGTGCTCACAGAAGTAACAGATATGCGATGCTTCTCGGAGGGGGTCTGGTTGACACCCGCGACAGCATGGCAGCCTAATTTGTTTTCAACAAAGTAAGATGAACAACAGGCAAGGTACCGCTCTTGTACATTAATTCGCCGGATCCCACAATCAGCGCTCCTGCTGGCAAAACACATAATAAACATGCATTCAATTTCACTGGTGCTATGTTGTGCTACCAAAATGTTAGGCATTGCTGCGTCACTCAAATCTGACCAACAGATCTCTTCGATGTGGAGTGTGTATATGTATGGCGTTTCTATATCTCACCATGAATGAGCATGCATCTTGTGACCAACGATGATCATCTTTGGATGGGACAAGAAGGACAGCAGGAAACCGGGAGTTTCATGGATCAGTTGGTTAGTTGGAGTTCGGAACCAGGGCAAGAAACCAGCAATACTGCCGTTTTCTAAAGTGACCCCTGAAATAAAATGAAATGAGATGCATTTTAACTGTACACATTCTTACTACAACTCTTTTATCTTTCTTTTTTCCACTGTTGTACCTAATAATATTCAAATTTTTGTTAAAATGCCTTGTGCAAATTTACTTGGTAAAATAAAACGTATCAGGATTTTTTCTAAAAACTTTTTTTCTTTTTCTTTTTATTTGTTTCAGAGCAGAACATATTCTAACATTCGCCAATCGAACAAAATGTTCTGTTCTTGAAAAGCAAGTGTTGTTTTGCATATCAGGAAGAGAAGAATCAATTAAACATTTTCAGCTAAAGTTTATCTTGCATATGATGTTAGCAAAACAAATGAAATAAAAATGAAAAACTCTTAAAAACTGTTTAGAAATCATCATTAATACTAAGGAAATAGTGTTATTAAGAGTAAATGTTATGTTTATTACGAAATTTGTATTCAACGAAGCAGTTTTCTTTTTTTTTTTTCGAAGGAAATATAAATGAAATTATATTCAACTGTACGGATTCTCAAGCGCTATTTTTTCAAGTCGAAAAAGAGATCGTCAACTGTAATAATTAAAATCTATTGAGAGAGTTGTAGATTGGATATTTTATTACTGCATTCGAATTTTTAGACAGATATTTCGAAACAGCCAACAGATGTTTTACATTAATACTAATCTTTCTCTTCATAAAAATAATGGGATCATATTAATTAATGCGCTAAAACACAACTTTTCTCCAAATATAAACAGAATTTTTGTTGGAATTGTTTACGAAATATTTTTATTCATTCAGTGATAAGAAGGGAAAGAAAGTAAGAAGGTGTTACTGTATATTAAGAGTGTGATCTTAAATGACCACATCTATCAATCATAGTATTTTATCATAATTCTTATGCAAAATCTATCGTTAACTAATGGATACCACGACATGTGACTTCTTAGATCTCAACTAAAAATTAATTTTGGGTGGCAGTACGACGCCAGAAAAAATTTTGATCAATAATGTTACTTATCTGAACTTAGAGGTTTCTTACCGTCCCTAAAACATTATTAGCTCGAAAATCTAATCTCGATTCCCTGCTAAAAGAGTTTTAACAATTTGTCAGTTGTGAAGTTATATAAACATTCTAGTAATGACAACTTTCGTAATCTCAAACTCTCAAATGAGAAAATTATTCCAAATACATAGCTTTCTAATTCCTTCATTTTGCTTCTAATTTCAATATTTCGAAACATGCAATTATCAATGTTCTAGTCAAGCTGACAACTAACAATTAACATTTGTAGGGTCATATGATCGAAACTGATCATATTTTAATATTTGTCGTTAGGATAAATTCTGCAACGATAAGTGATGCATATCTGAAAACAGTCCGGTCACTAAATGTGGACTTATAAACTTATTTTAAGCTTGATTTTTTACAGTAGCATATGACCTCAGAATCAATTTTAGTGTGAGAAAAAAACTGATTGGGATATATCGCGAGACTGCATGAGAATGCATTTGAAATTATAAAAGTTCCTGCTTTACATCTCTCCCTTATGGTCACAAAACAACTTTTGCAAAGTTGATATCTCAAAAAAGTGTCACCAAACGCAGATTAATGAAAAAGCGCCAAGATCTCCGCACGAGAAGAATAAGAATAGTGAATGGCTTTGAACTTTTCATTCTATGTGATTTTCTTTACTTTGTCACTTTTTTTCCTTTCTATAAGGTTCATTGTTTTCTCCATATTCTTGACTTTTATATGAAATTTTAACGGAGCATTTTCGCATTTGTCACTGGAATAGCGTGATACGTGTTTTTTATGGTTATCAGTTATTGATAATTGCGTAATTTTCAAGCTTTTTTCTGCTTTTCGCACACTTTACATGATGATTAATTTTGAGGCTTTGCTTTATTACTTGTGAAAAGATATAGAAAAAGTTGTCAATAGAGAGTGTACAGAGCAGATCGTCAACCAAACATCCTTCACAAAAGGCCATGTGATGCAGAAGTGTGCCCACCATAAGTTGCTAACAAATAATAGCAGACAAGATCAATGCAGCGAATTGTTGACATTGCATTTGTGTCCGTAGCAGAGCACTGCATTTACTCCTTGTAAACGCGACCTTTGAAACTACAAGTCCAGCTCACTCTTCTTGACATAAAGTATTGTGAAAATGTTTGCATGCATATATGTATGTTAGAATGGCACCGCTTTTGCTACACTGCAATAACCTGGACAAAGCATAGGGAAAGTAAGGAAGACCAGAAGACAGTTAAATGTGAATTCTGAATTATCCCCTGCCCTTGAGTATATCTACCCCATTGAGAAATGTCACATATCCGAGCGGAACAAGCGACCGATATGCTGCTATCTCGCCTTTGTACTGTCTTCGCTGTTCTCTCTGCTATTGGACAATTCCTACTAAAAGCCTTCTTTAGACACTGATGCACTCAATCCCAAGGTCTTTTTCCTTCACTTTGAGTCTACCTAAATGATCATCGATGAAAGAAATGATTTGAGGAGGTCCAAATACGAGTACGTATGGGAGGACACATTAACACACCAATATATGTAACTTTAGGTCCACTGACAATAGTCCTCCTTTCATTGCCAAGCTGAGCCATACAAAACAACAATTACATTACTTATTTTTTCCGATAAAGCAAAAAGGTAGTGTTCAAACCTACGGTCAAAATTCATTTTTTTAGAGGGTTGAAGTTTCCAGAATAAAGTGGAAAATTCCAAAAATTTTTTGAAAATATCAGTACAAAAAAAAATATCAATACAAGATTTTAAATTATTAATGTGTAGCAGGAATCAAGTATTTATAAACAAAAAGCTAAGTAAAACAAAATTCAAACTCAGCATCTTCAACAAGCAAGAATACACTGTGTTACTGAACTCCACATCACGAACCTTTATCGAACATAATGTTGCTAGTTAACAAAGTAAAACGGGTTACTTTAACAATCAACCTTATTATAATCATGTATCCTCGCCAACAACAGTAGACTAAACAATATGTATTACGATCGATTCTATCTGTAGATAAAATCATGTTTGAACAGCATTACGAAGACTACAAAACAATAACAGGCCCAAAAATTTCTTTCTTTTCCTTCCTTTGCTGGAGAATACAACTAGCTGAAATGATCCCTCGAAAAAGTTTATTCACCACTGGGAGATAATATCTGAAGTATCACATTTTGTGAAACAATAATTTCTATAACATGTAATAATTGAAAAAAGAAAATCAAGTACACTTTTTTGTCAAGATCAGACTCCGATTCTTTGCCCTTTTTGTTTATAAATACTGTCATGGTATTACCGGAAAACTTGGAATCACTGATAATGTTTAAAGGTTTAAAAGGATAAAGGAAGAACAAGAATTCGAGTGCATCAGAGTACTTCAGGATGGCGACACTTATGTTACATAGTTATTACATAAATTTTGAGAGAGCAAAACAAAGCTTATGATTAAAAAATTGTTTACACGAAATAAAGCATTGGATAAATGTATTATTGTATGACAATATTTATAGGTTAGTGCAATAGCAAATGTTGATCATCGCTGCCACTTTTATTTGATGTCTCACCACTGACAGCCATCTTAGCTTTCATTTCAGGCTTTAGTATGTATTATTACCAGTCAAGCTCTGCTTTCATTTCTTTACATTTGACATTTAACAGCAGCATACTCGTAACTAAGTTTCGATCCTATATTTAATATAAAACTAAACTTAATATTGTTTTCATTTGCTTATGCCTACGTTTTCATGGTTGTGAGATGGGTTAGAAATTTTAATAAGCCTTCTTATCAACTTTTTTATTCTCAGCACTCAAGGTAACTAATTCGAAGTGGACAAGAATTACGTAGTTTCACGCTCTCACTCGTTTCACAGTGCAAAATACCGATTAATAAAATAACAATTGAAAAACTGCAACGTCCGGTTTTCGTACCCATTCTATTGCGTTTATTACTCAAACAGGCTTAACAATCACTTACTCATGTTGCAGATGAACAGCTCTGTGATCACGCAAATCACACTGCTGTATTCCACCTATGCATATGGTATAACATGCTATGAATGTTCGTCCGGCGCCTCTGACGACTGCCTAAAAGCAAGCGTTCCTTGCATTTATGGACTTTTTGGCTGCATGAAAATAACGATTTACTCTGGTGGTATTGATAAATGTTAGCTTTTTACTAATACTTAACAAATTTTTACCTTTTATATAGTACAAAGAGCTGCCTCGATAAAATCATTCACTACAGTTGGCAACTACGAGAACCAAGGAAATAGAGTGATCGGAATATACCGAGGATGCATCGCGTTACCCGTGGCAGGCTCTGATATGTGTCAGCAATTCTCGTTATTCGGCTACCGAATTGTCACCTGTCGCTGCTTTAACGATTTTTGTAATGGTATCATATCTATCCAAACAAGTTTACCAGTTATATTTTTATTCACCATCTGTTATTTCACAACTTTCATCCTGTAACTATTTATGTATATAAAACCTTACGAACTGAACTACAGTTACTAGAAATAACGACCAGATTCAAGTTACATGAGACTTTTCCGTGCATAACTTCTTCGATGCACTTCCCTGAACGAATCAGAAGTCAGTCTTCCATTACTGACTCTTTGGATATTTGGTGTTATGTAAAAAAAAAGCGACCACTTTCAAATCTCAAACTTCCTCTTATAATAGACCACCCGTTATGTTAAAATCCACACCATCCTTATCAAGCGAACTTTTTTCGGAGTTCCCCGGCAACTGTAAGATATTAGCCAGCCCTACCTTCACTTTTAGATTCAGAACACCAAAATGAAAAATAAGACTTTACCCCTACCCTAATCCTTCGAGAATGGAATCTGCTAGTGCTTAAGTAGGATTTTCATACCAATATTTGGATATTCCTTAACAATAATATTCATAATTTTTGATTGGCACGATCAAAGCAATAAAATCACAAATTTTTGGACATACGAATTGTTGGAAGTCCAGGTAGTTTACTGAATGAGTCAAACTTGGTTATAACTAAACAGTTAACACAACTCTTATGTTCTTTAAACAAACGGAACAACCTGAACTTTGAGAAAAGCAGCATAATTAAAAGCCATCTGAAACACGATTAACATCCTCAGTGTCTGGTTCTTAAAAGTCGTGCAGTTCACATCATGGTGCAGCATTGTTAAGCAAGAAATACGACTGTTTGAAAGAAAGAAATAGTAATCTCATGTCCGATTTCAAAATGCAAAATAAAGACAGATATGATCATTGAAAAATTTTTACCTGTTATCAAAAAAGGCGGTACAGTTAGAGATACAAATGATAAATCACAAGTAACATTTTAAATTACAAATATAGGAAACTAACAAATACACGAAAATAAGCATGCATACTTCCCTGCTTTTTTATCGAAAAAACTGAACGGCAGATTTTACCGAAGAGACATTACAAACACATAAATTAATGTACTACTATTCTCATGAACAGCTTGCAAAGAAAAAGGAAAACGGAAACGACCAGCACAGAACCATTGGATTTTAGTTACCAAAGGTTTCCAAACATTAAGTTTTCATACCGTAAAAATGCACATAGCTAACAAAACAAAAAGTGCACATTTATTTTAATAGCACTTTGATTCTAAACGATAGAAAATGATAAACATAAACAATGCAACAAATTCGAAATTTTCAAAGAGCACTAATCATTAAACTTTGGGGAAATCACTGTCCTTGAGAGGCGATATTAAATTATTATGTTGCATAGCTGCAACAGAAGCGCGCTGAAATTCACTGGCCCCTGGACGTAGAAAAAATATTTCACCGTTTTCAGATAAAACAGCTGAAGCGATTCCCTCAACGTCAGAAGCCTGAAAATCTACTGCAATAGGCAGACAATCTTTGCAACCACTTCAGTATGGAGATATTAGAATTCTACTTATTCTGCTTCCATAATAAGTTCTAATTTTTTAAACGTCATAACTCCTACATTATGTTTTAGACCCACCGTGAATATGAAAATGTATTCACAAAGTGAAATGTAGGTCACGATGTATAAAATGTCTGAAGCTTAGAAACTTGAATTTTAATAAAAAACCTTGATCAAATAACTATTTGATTTCAAAACATCCAACGCAAGAAACAGATATTGTTTTATGAAGAAAATAAAGTTACTGGAGGGGAACCTCAAAATAATAAATAAAAATACCTTTGTAAAGTGAATCTTCAAGAATTGCTTAATAGTTAGCGCAGAAAACAAAAACAATTCGCCTTGGTTCGTGATGACAACAATGAATTTTTCATACAATTTTCGATCTGAAAGAACCAAATGTAGGAGTCAAATGGAATTTAATATGGAGCTTAACGAATAAAATGAAAAATAACTACAAATGAGAAACAGAGTTTTCATCGAAATGAAAAATGACGACTTCTCGTAATTACATTACTATTCACAAAAACGACTGACTTTATTCGATTTATTTCTATTTTTTATTTTTTTTTTTTGTACCTGATCAACGTTCTAATCGATCAAAAAAAAAAAAAAAATATTTTGAAGGTATTAAGTGATGTACTTGTAGTTGATCGTAATGTAAGAAGCTGAGCCTTTCTAATTCGCGAACCTTCCACACCCGTAAATTTATACCGAAATCTGGTTGGTTTCATTGTCGGAAGCGCAAACGTTTTGATTTGTTCTTCGGTATAAATGATCAGTCTTTCTGTTCCTGTCAAGCCCTGAAGTGTCTCAGTTTGAAAGTAAATATGGAAACGAAGCAAATACTCCAAAAGTTTTAATGTGTGAAGATTTTTTCACCGCACTTTTATAAGCTGAAACCCATCAATAGTTGCGCAGGTGAAATCAATAACTGGAGCCCGATGTTGCAAATGTACTTCCTTCACGAGAATACAAACATCTTCCGGTTTTAGTGCATCATCCAATATTGCATAAGCAAATATCACTCCTGAATAATGCATATTTTTTTTTATATGTGCATATTTTTATAATATCTGCATGGAAGTGATGAAAAACGTTATCTATTATTTTTAACCCTATGGAAGAACACAAAGAAGTTTATTAAAGAAATTATGAGTAAACATACCACCATTTGTTCCAATCCAAAGACTATCAGTGCGGGAAGTAATGGAAAGAATGCTTGTATGGAAGAATCTAAGTACTCGCACCGCAGAAATAGGAGGATCACCAACTAAAAAGTAGCATATATGAGTCGCTGACTAACGTCATTCTCATTATATAAATACTGTATTATTTCTTCAAATAATGAAAAATATAGGAAAAAACAACCGTTGAAAGGTGCCTCGTTTCGTGAAATAATTTGGCGTTCGACAGGTCTCAGTTCATCCAGGTCATCATTATTAGTTGAACATGCAGCTCCAGTGCAATTACTTCCAGTCTAAACTGACGATATTTTCTTATTTAAAATGAAGTTGACAAATTTTGATTGAATAAACATAAGTACAGCACAGAAAATTTCGGAATTTATGCGGTGGCATTATAAAGCCCCAGCTCAAACTTTATAAAGCATTTTAAGAGAACACCTGTGGAACTTTTTTCTTGCGACGAAACGACTGACGGATTGACTTTTTCATACTTTTAAACCTTGATAATGTGCTTACGTCTCCTAATTCTGCAATGAATGTAATATTAATCATATAAACATGATTTTTAGCATTCCGGTTATATGCAAGGTGTAATGCATTCCACCTCTTGATAAATAATTCATTGGCACTTTCAACTGAACACTTAACATAACAGCTTCGTGAGCATATATAATTGAAAGAGCATTAGGACAGAAAGTCAACGAACAAATTGAAAGAACATTAGGATAGGAGGTCAACGACCGATTTCTGTAAAAGCTGACAAATCAACATAATCTTAAAATCTTATAGTCACAGTCTTTTGATGAAAGGACGAAATTAAACAATAAGTGTATTCCTATATCCTAAACCTCCTTATCTGAAAAGTCTAAACCGACGAAATATTAGCTCGAGAGACCTATGGCTGCGATCTTTAAGATTAGAGAAAATAATTTAAATAAATTTACTGTTGGACAAAAAGACCTTTTAAAGTAATAAGACATCTGGAAATAAGAGTTTCCCGGCTTTTTAAATCACACATCACAAAGCCATACTCGCACCCAAATGCTAAAAGATTGCGCGATCGAAGAGATGCTACTGCTGTTATTGCAACTGACGGACGCAACTGAATAAGATAGCTAAAAACATTATGTAAGTGTAAGCTAAAGATAAGTGTAACTAGTTTCAAGTAAAATATTAATTATATAAAAATCGCTTTCAAAGCCCGTCGCATTATTTATTGGTTCCAGTTGCTAATTCATCCAATTTAAAAATGATTGTTTACTTAATGCCATTAAAAACACAAAACACTGCGTCCCAAACTTTTTCTGGGTCTATAATATGTAAATAAATCAGTAAACAGCACATTTAAATCAATTTTAATAATATACCTTCGGTTCTGATCAGTTTTGAAAGGCTGATATCCAATTGCATATGACAATGGAGCTTGCCGAGGAGGCAAAGCCTGCTGACTGATATTTGTTGGTAACTTCGATTTTTCCGCAACCTCATATTCTGTTTTTATTACGGTCAATGCTACCTTAACGGTGTTCATACACTTACATCGCAAACCAACGTATATAATAGTGGTTTAAATATGACTAAAATTTACTTATAGATCTTACCGATGATTCGTCATCCAAATCATATACGATAACATGACCGGCACGACCACCTACTACCAACCGTCCGTTGGTCACATCGAAATACACCTTCTGTATGGCTAAACGTGGATCATCGCAAAATGGATCGTATGTTCCAACCTTAAAATTAATTGCGTTGCACTCAGTACATATCTTGTATCGGATGATCTCTACTGTAACACACAGAACAAAACGACCTTGCGAAAAGGAGGCCAATCGGTAATTTCATTGGAATCTTCATCAGACGCTTCGTTATTGGAAACTTCAACTGAACTACCTGAAAATTCTGCACTTTATATTTTCGTTATACCCTAACAAAGTAGCATTAAAAAAAGGATATGTTTGTACTGATTAACCCTAGATTTAAGATAAATACAGGAAACAACTAACTTCCAGACTCACATTCTGTTCTATCACTGTCAGCATCTACTGAAAAGAAGCCTTCAAATTCTTTTGCTGTATTAATTTTTAGCAAATAATGCAAACTGATAGAACCAGTCGACCAGAACTTCACAGTACCGTCTTCGTGTCTTCAAAAAATACATGAGCAATAATACATCATAATCTCACCCGAAAGTTTCAAAACTTAAATGACAATAAACGTAAATAAGAAACCAAATGAACAAATGCAACTGTGTGAAAGTACGAACATAAACAAATTCTACTGATAGACAAAGGGAATTCATTACTAAATATTCACTCCAGATTCACTGGATAAAGGGTATCTCCGGCAATTGTCACAGAAAACTTGCCC